GATAGACAGACAGAACAGACAGGACAGACACAGGCACGCAGATAGACAGTCAGAACAGACAGGACAGACACAGGCACGCAGATAGACAGACAGGACAGACAGGACAGACACACGGACACTAATCAACTATGAGTAAAATGGACGTGTTACCATCATGGATGCTGCAGAGTGGTGGACACTCAGAGTGACTAGACAGGGTTTCAGAGAAGGCAGCCCCATGATCTTGGACGAGTTACAGTCACTTATCTGGAAGAATTATTATTTTTTAATTAATGTAGAAAAACAGAGAACAAGTGATGCTTTAATTATCAATAGGCCTTCCTATGCTAACATGACTAAATGGTAACACTTTAGAATAATGTTCATTACTAAGTATTAATAAACTATTACCCGGTTCCAAAACAGAATGTTTCCGCAGATCCTTTTTACCATATCCAGATCCTTTTTACCATATGCAGATCCTTTTTACCATATGCAGATCCTTTTTACCATATGCAGATCCTTTTTACCATATGCAGATCCTTTTTACCATATGCTGAGGCTTTTTATCACCAATACTTAGTTCTATCTCAGCTGATGATATGCTGCTTTTAGTGTCTGTGTGTCCTTGTTTTGTTTTCATGGTCTATTTATTGGTAATGGATGTATTGGCTGGTGCAATCAAATTTCTCCTCTTGGGGATTAATAAAGTACTATCTTAACATTACCTAGCCTGGTCCCAGATCTGTTGGTGCAGTCTTAGTAATAATGACAATAAGAGATGGCAAGACAGCACAGATCTGAGATCAGGCTAACCATTATAGTCCAAGGGCCACCCACCAAAAAAGGCGTTTCATGACCCAGGAAATGTATCTGCAAATCGTTGACATAATTTGGTAGATAATGTTATTAAGTGGAAGAATGTGTGATCTACAACTTGTAAAAGTTGCACATTAATAAAAAAGTATAAATCAAAAGGTACGATTTTTAAATCATAGTGCAGAAAGCAACGTATGTACCGAACCGAAGGAATCCTGAAATAATACGATAAGAAGCTGTTGAAACGTGCAAAATCAATTTTTCTAAGATGCCAGAACAGAGCTTTATGTATCTGTCGGGACCTTCAATGTTTTGAGAGCTGTGTTCGCTAGCAAATGTTGTTCTGTCTTTAGTTTGGCTAGCAGGCAAAAGTAATAATGGCCCTGTAGATTAAATACATCTGCCAAACGTCTTCTATTAACTGAGAAATCCTCTGCACCTGGTTAAGATTTGATGCTAAATAGCGTAACTTTGATTAAAGATTTTTTTTAAAGTTAATGTGCAACTTCTACAAGTTTTGAATCAGACAGTTATTCTTCATAACATTATCTACATAATGTTGTTGAAATGTTGCAGTTTCATTTTTGGTGGGTGGCCCTTGGACTATCACCTATTGCTAGAACATACCTCTATCTGTAGGAGAGATTTAAAGACCGAAAGGTCAAAGGTGAGGCTGTCTTCCTGGATGTTACTGGTCCCCACCTCTCCTCTGGTGCCTGTGATCTGGGAGAAGAGTAGAGACCAAACAAGACATGGCTAAACCCCTAGTGCTTTTATAAGCGCGCCTGTACATAGATGAAATCATATTAGCTACAGGTTCAGAGATGTTGAGAGAGAGAGAGAGAAAGAGAGCAGGCCAGAGAGGGGGAGAGAGAGAGAGAGAGAGAGAGAGAGAGAGAGAGAGAGAAGAGAGAGAGAGAGAGAGAAGAAAGAGCAGGCCAGAGGGGGGGGAGAGAGACAGAGAGAGAGAGACAGAGACAGAGACAGAGACAGAGAGAGAGAGAGAGAGAAGAGAGAGAGAGAGAGAGAGAGAGAGAGATCACCTTGAGGTATTTGAGTCTGCACGTGAAGTCCAGGATGTGTCCCAGATCTGCCTTGGCGTCACCATTAAAGCAGGTAGGCTTGGCCAGCTTCAGCTGCTGAGTGATGGCATAAAGCTGAAGGGGACACAACGTGAACACCTCACCAGCCACCAGCATCTGCTCTCCTGCATGGGGAGATATCAATCAATATCTTTAAATTGTTCCTGTTCGGACATTTGTAGTGCAGACAGTCAGGGTAGTGCAGCCAGTCAGGGTAGTGCAGCCAGTCAGGGTAATGCAGCCAGTCAGGGTAGTGCAGCCAGTCAGGGTAATGCAGCCAGTCAGGGTAGTGCAGTCAGTCAGGGTAGTGCAGCCAGTCAGGGTAATGCAGCCAGTCAGGGTAGTGCAGCCAGTCAGGGTAATGCAGCCAGTCAGGGTAGTGCAGTCAGTCAGGGTAGTGCAGCCAGTCAGGGTAGTGCAGTCAGTCAGGGTAGTGCAGCCAGTCAGGGTAATGCAGCCAGTCAGGGTAATGCAGCCAGTCAGGGTAGTGCAGCCAGTCAGGGTAATGCAGCCAGGCAGGGTAGTGCAGCCAGTCAGGGTAATGCAGCCAGTCAGGGTAATGCAGCCAGTCAGGGTAATGCAGCCAGTCAGGGTAATGCAGCCAGTCAGGGTAGTGCAGCCAGTCAGGGTAATGCAGCCAGTCAGGGTAGTGCAGCCAGTCAGGGTAATGCAGCCAGTCAGGGTAATGCAGCCAGTCAGGGTAATGCAGCCAGTCAGGGTAATGCAGCCAGTCAGGGTAGTGCAGTCAGTCAGGGTAGTGCAGCCAGTCAGGGTAGTGCAGCCAGTCAGAGTAGTGCAGCCAGTCAGGGTAGTGCAGCCAGTCAGGGTAGTGCAGCCAGTCAGGGTAGTGCAGCCAGTCAGGATACAAAACAATAGACCAACAGCACATTATAATATCAACATTGTCACTACTGCTGGTGTCATGTATTTATTGTACAAGGGTCTTATCTGAAAGACACATCTGAAAATAACGTTTATTCTATTCTTTCCTATTCCTGTATGTGTAAATTGTATTATTATTCTCCTACTCCTTTCTACACAGTGAGTCTATTATGAGTATTATTGTCTACATAATGAATCTATCGGTAGCTGGTGAACAAATGAACCAACCCTTGTGGAACAGCTCCTCTGCCAGAGCGGCTGTGATTCCATTCATTTCCTGGAGGAAAAGACAAACATTAGAAGAAGAAGAAGAAGAAGAAGAAGAAGAAGAAGAAGAAGAAGAAGAAGAAGAAGAAGAAGAAGAACTAGGAGAGAAGTTTCTATGTTCATGTCATTTATTCTGGTCACATGTCTGTCATGGCTTTCAAATTGACAAGCACCACAAGTCTTGTGGTAGTAACAAATGAAATCAGTGTGTCCCTCTGTCATCACGTGATCTCAAATGATTTGTTGTTGTAATAAGGATAGTGCTATCCATCTTTGATAATCTGTAGAACTAAGACATTAACACTAACTCACTGACCTGCAAAACATCTGAAGAACTAAATAGCCTAATTAAATCACTTTATAAATTCAGGAAATCATCATTAAAACTCTGACAACAGCTAAACCACTTCCTGCCTGATGTTTTGCTGTGACAAGATTCAAAACAACCCTTGATAATATTTAACCACCACACTATTGCTATGACTATCTCATGAGATTACACAGGCCTGATCTGACCTGTGCACGGGGGGACCAAAGTGCACACACAAGTGAAAAACAAATCTGACATATTACGAGACCAACATGTGTGTGTGTGTGTGTGTGTGTGTGTGTGTGTGTGTGTCCTTACATATTGGTGGAAGTGCAGAAAGCAGGAGAGAACGTTAGGGGCAGCTGTAGGGAATCTGACCAGCAGTGTTTGTAGGTAGACTTCCAGTTCCTTCTGACGTTTCTCTACCAGGCTTTTTGAGTTTTTACCGATCATCTTCTTAGGCGGCAGTAAATGTTTCTCTATCTTCTTCTCAGCTGTCAGCTTGGGGTGAAAATATTTGTATGAATCTCACAATAAAAGGTCACAATAAATAGTATCAGGTGTGTAAACTGAACTAGAAGAATATGACTGTTATTACATATCTGTTACATGGCAGTCTGTTAGCTAGTATCTACATTTTACAACGTGTTCATGGTTCACAACATTACATTATGCATTTTTTCAAGTCACTTACTTTCTCATGCAAGTCATGGAAATCACTGTAGCGATGCTTGATGGTCCATTTGTGATCCCCGACTGTCACCTCAATTATGTACACCTGGAGAATAAATACATATTAATATTAGAATTTGGTCATGTTTTTTCCTAGACGATAATGTTAGACACAGGGTCAATGACAGTGGTTTATGTTTTCTCTGTGTATTGAATATTACCCCACAAACTACTGGGAGAAGAACAACAAGGACTATTATTAGCTAACTTGTGATGTGGATATCACCTGTTAAACACAGCATGAAACATTAGGAATGGAATGAGCTTTCTTTACCGAGATACTCTAGGCCCCAGAAACTAGCACAAGTCAGCTGAGAGGGAATGCATCAGTGACAGTCAGTTGTCCTGATTGACTGACAGTGTAGCTAGCTAGCGTGAACTTTGTGATACCTAGCGAAATAGCTAACTAGCTAAATAATTTTACAAACATCTCAGGATCCATCGTGACAGCACAGTTAACTAGTTAGCTTCTAACAGCTTACTAAGAACATTTCATAGTGAGCTAGTTGACTGTCTGTATGAAAATGTTGCTGTGTTTCACGATAAATGCTCAATTAGCTTGGTAGCTATAGCTAGCTAGCTACCTTCAAGAGACATTACGTAGCTTGAAAACCATGGTCATGCAATTTTAATATGTATACATACATGTCAATAAGCATCAGGCTTTTAAAATTGTAGCACGCATGCAGTTATAAAGCTTGGGATTAATTTAGCTATATAGCTACGTTACTGTGATTGCTTGCTACGTTATATATTTGCTTCTACGTGACATTAAAACAAGAAACTACAAGTACTTACTAGCTAGCTAACTAGATTGCTAACGCTAGCTACATGAACGTACAGTGTAATTCTCCACGAGTTCCGATCCAACGATGGAAACCTTTTTTTCAACGACATCTTCGGGAAATACAAAAGTATCCATCTTGAAATCACGATATAAAAAAACACAATCAGAAGAAAAAAAAACGGGTCAATTGTGTTTTAACTAAGGTCCTCGGCGGATGTACAGTGCTAGCTAGCTAGCTTTCTCCTCCATCTTTGTTGTGACAAACAGCCAGCTGCGGTCTGGTTGAATCCCGGAAAACAGCCAGTTTGCTAAACACATCTAGAGGCGTTGTCCTTTCCCTGCCATTAATAGCCTACTTCTAAATCTGTGAACTGACTGACTGTCTTGGTACCAGTGCATGATTTAGTAGTCAGCCCAATGCTGAATTAAAGATTAGATTAACCTACTTATCCAGCAATAGGTTTATCTGAATCTAAAAAATAACTGTCCTGTCTGTGGATCGTCGAGACTCTCAACCAGTGACAGTAATCACCAAAATGGACAAGGGTTTAATATAATCATTCAACCATTTATCTTGATGATAGACACTGCATGACAAAATGCTGACATGGTGTCTGTGCGCACCAATACATTATCTCGGATTAATCGGAGATAATTAATTAATTCCGGATGAATAATAATATGCCATTTAGCAGACGCTTTTATCCAAAGCGATTTACAGTCATGCGTGCATACATTTTTTGTTTTTGTGTATGGGTGGTCCCGGGGATCGAACCCACTACCTTAGCGTTACAAGCGCCGTGCTCTACCAGCTGAGCTACAGAGGACCACGAATAGCTGTTTGTCCATGTGGTTTCTTTATTTTATTATTTATTTGACTCTTATTATTATCTATCCTGATACCTAGTCACTTTACCCTGCCTTCATGTACATATCTACCTCAAATACCTCGTTCCTCTGCACATTGATCTGGTATTGGTACTCCCTGTATATAGCTCCATTCTTCTGTATTTTATTTTATTCCTCGTTACTCTTTTATTTTTAAACTCTGCGTTGTTGGGAAGGGCTTGTAAGCAAACATTTCACGGTAAAGTCAACACCAGTTGAGTTGTATTCGGCGTATGTGACAAATACAATTTGATTTGACTTGATCTATTGGGCAATTTCTTTTTCACTGAGCCCCTCATGCGAACAGGACTAAAAAACAAGAGAGGGGGGGGGGGGTTCCTTATCATACATGTTTTCAGTTTGTTAAGTATGCTATAGCCCATAGAGAATGATAGAGGCCTCTAGTGATCTAATAGCATGGCAGCGCCATTGAGGGCTTCCACCATTTTAATGTCGTCAACTGGGTGGGACTTCCAACTTCATTGGCTGATCCCTCCTGGTGACCCTGTTGGAGTCATGTCCAACCGGGTCATCTGGAGGGATCAGCCAATCGTGAAGAAGAATGGTGATTGCCTCAATGGGGCTGCCCATGCGCTCACAGACGCCACAATAGGAACTATATAGGGATGCTTTCTGTATCATTCTCTATGGCATAGCCCCATAGTTTAAAATCTAATTTTATTTGTCACATACATGTGTTTAGCAGATGTTATTGAGGGTGTAGCAAAATGCTTGTGCTTCTAGCTCCGACAGTGCAGTAATATCTAACAAGTAATATCTAACAATTTCCCAACATATACCCAATACACACAAATCTAAGTAAAGAATGGAATTTAAGAATATATACATATATGGACAAGCAATGACAGAGCGGCATGGACTAAGATACAATAGAATATTATAGAATAGAATGCAGTATATACATATGAGATGAGTAGTGCAAGATATGTAAACATTATTAAAGTGACTAGTGTTCCATTTCTTAAAGTGACCAGTGATTTCAATAGGCAGCAGCAGACTCTAATGTGCTAGTGATGGCTATTTAACAGTCTGATGGCCTTGAGATAGAAGCTGGCCTTACAGGGGTATTCAACCGGGGGTCCGTGGAGGTAATGCAAGGGGTCCGTGAAAATATCTCCATAAAAAAAGTGGAACAAATATTGTTTTTATGTCAATGTTTTTAATAATATCGCTAGCAACATTCGTATTGTAAACAACAATATTTGAGAAATATGGGCTAAATGTGAATTGTAGCCTATGTGTTGACAATCTTTGTGTGTTGGTGGGCGTGACTGTTGTTGCCAGAACAATTACTCTGCTATTACGAGCCTATAAGACTGTATCAGTGTCCATTTGACAGTAGAAAATGCAACAGTCAGTGGATTGAGGGTTTCTTTATTCTGTAAACTGGCTACATTGTGTCACTGTCACCTAACTTTTTCGTGCAGTACGTGTGCAACGGGATTAAGTCCAATGCAACGATGCACCCCAAACGTCATAAAAAGAATTGGACTATTACTGTCTGAAAGGGTTGGTGTTTTCATAATTCCAGCTCGATTAGCAAATCGTTTTAATTGTTGTCAAATATTTGTTTGCTATTGGCACATCAAAATACATTCGTTCTCATAAATACACAGGCTTCTGGATATATATTTGTTAGATGTATTTAAAGTTTTGGCAGTGAAACATGGAACACCCCCGCGTATCTAGCCAACAGTGGAATGTTCCATTCCTATATAAACCACTCGAGCGGACTTCCCAGTACCATTTGCAACTGTCATTTCAGTTGGACAAAACACACAACAACAACAACAGGGTCACTAGTTAGCTACCAATTAAAATAAGCAAGAAATACACCTGAAACTCTAGACTTATTTTTTCGATCTTCTATAGTCGTATTTCTAAAAAACGACTATTTGACGAGAGAAAAGGGGTGTGACAGACAAGATAGCGCAGCTGTAGCGGCGAGCAGGTCAAACTGCCTGTACTAGAGGCGCGCTACCAGGCTATGTACTCTCTAAAGCCAGTGGTCAAGAAAAAAACGAAGAAGATTGTAAAAAGGTAGACTTTTAGGGGTTTTCGTGTGGTGATCCACGAAATTATACGAAACCCCATACAGAGAAATTACAATTTCTTTGTTACCTAGCCGCTGACAGCAGCGGAGAAGAGAATGTAAGGCTCAGGGAAGCACGTAGCTGCGTTTCTAATGCTTTTCGAAGAAGATATGTATGGGAAGGCCATGATGTGCCAGTGGCGGGTCTACAGTGACAGACCTGTCTGCAAAGACCAACAACAGAAGGAGGGGCAGCAGGCGAGGAGATGGGACAACAGCAAGCTTAGTTGGTCCAAGAACGGGAGGAGGCAGCAAGGGTATCGGGGGAAGAGAGGAAGGGTGCATGGGCATCATCATCCTCACCACTCCAGCCAGTTCTACAAACAGAACCGACCGACTCGTATGATGACGTCACTGCGTCCTGTCAACATCAAAGGCAACAGAGCGCCAGGAATGAGAGCTCCGAGGAACACCAACCAGTTCCTGATGCACGAAAAATACCAGATGATGCATATGCGTTCGGACTCCATCGGCACAGACAGTGGGTCTGACTGCGAAACTGATTTCACGGACATGGACTCGTATCTAGGCGTGCTAGAGAACGCAAGGGGCGCCCTCCTCGACAGTCCAGATCTCACAACAACGCCAGCACGGTTCTTCCCCCGACAACTGGCCAAGTGCCAGCAGTTTCCCTTCTTCAGTTTAGGGAATTTGTACCAAGAGGAGCAGGAGAGTAACAGTATGCAGTATTTCCCGTCAGAAAACGACGTGATGCAGAGTGAAGATTTCATGCAGAAAGACTTCAATGACTTTTGTGACACATTCAGTGGGACCGAACCACCCATAGACATGTAAAGGGACCTGGTATGTAAATGTAATGTATTTCTGTTTACATTAAATGTATGTTTACATTACATGTAGGAGAGAAAACATACCTCAATTCAACAGGTATTGGTTACTGTTACAATATTTGATTGTTTTCTGATACTGTCTGTTTATGGTGTTATTGACAATGCTGTGTTGGGGGAGTGGTTAAGTGGGTAGGAGTGAGACCTACGAACCAATCACATCCGTGCTCGTTGGATTATTCTACACCATTGCTTGATGCTGTCATTGTCATTATTGAAAACGCTTCGAACAATAAAGAACTGCTTCTTATGAAAATCTGTTTTCAAACTACTTTTGTTTTGATAATTACACTGTTGTATAGTCAAATAAGCAACAGTATTGTTAGGATAATATTTATTTCGAAATATATTTCTTACATTTATTGCCAGCAGAAGAATATATGTCAGTGTGTCATAACTAGGCTACATTTTAGGTTAGAACCAAACATTTTGGTAGGATGGTAGGATTATTTAATCACCACATAAAAGAAAAGTGAATTGGTGGGTTCTAGAATGTGTTCTAGAATCTAAATGCAGCAACAAAGGAGGTGGGGTGGGCGGAAGCTAGAGGACATATTATTCCGACAGACTGTATAGAACAACATGATACTGGAATAGGATCACTCTCATAAATATATAATCATAGCTAAGTACTGTATTTAATGTGTTTGTCATGGTTCTCTTGTGTGTGTGTGTGACTACTACAGTGTTCAAATCCACTTAGTACACTGTAATAAGCACTAGAGATACAGAGAAACTGTAACAAATAGAACCACAGTGGTTGGTAAATATACTACATGGCCAAAAGTATGTGGACACCCCTTCAAATTAGTGGATTCGGTTATCTCAGCCACACCCGTTGCTGACAGGTATTAAATCGAGCACACAGCCATGCAATCTCCATAGACAAAGTAGAATGGCCCATACTGAAGAGCTCAATGACTTTCAACGTGGCACCGTCATAGGATGCCACCTTTCCAACAAGAGCTGCCCCGGGTCAACTGTAAGTGCTGTTATTGTGAAGTGGAAACGTCTAGGAGCAACAATGGCTCAGCCGCGAAATGATAGGCCACACAAGCTCACAGAACGGGACCGCCGAGTGCTGAAGCGCGCAGCGCGTAAAAATCGTCTGTCCTCGGTTGCAACACTCACTACCGAGTTCCAAACTGCCTCTGGAAGCAACGTCAGCACAAGAACTGTTCGTCGGGAGCTTCATGAAATGGGTTTCCATGTCCTAAGATCACCATGCGCAATGCCAAGTGTCGGCTAGAGTAGTGTAAAACTCGGCGCCATTGGACTGGAGCAGTGGAAACGCCTTCTCTGGAGTGATGAATCACACTTCACCATCTGGCAGTCCGACAGACTAATCTGGGTTTGGCGGATGCCAGGACAACGCTACCTGCCTGAATGCATAGTGCCAACTGTAAAGTTTGGTGGAGGAGGAATAATGGTCTGGGGCTGTTTTTCATGGTTCGGGCTAGGCTCTTAGTTCCAGTGAAGGGAAATCTTAACGCTACAGCATACAATGACATTCTAGACGATTCTGTGCTTCCAACTTTGTGGCAACAGTTTGGGGAAGGCCCTTTCCTGTTTCAGCATGACAATGCCCCCATGTACAAAGCGTAAATGTAAATGTAAATGTACAAAGCGAGGTCCATGCAGAAATTGTTTGTCAAGATCGGTGTGGAAGAACTTGACTGGCCTGCACAGAGCCCTGACCTCAACCCTATCGAACACCTTTGGGATGAATTGGAAAGCTGACTGCGAGCCAGGCCTAATTGCCCAACATCAGTGCCCAACCTCACTAATGCTCTTGTGGCTGAATGGAAGCAAGTCCCCGCAGCAATGTTCCAACATCTAGTGGAAAGCCTTCCCAGAAGAGTGGAGGCTGTTATAGCAGCAAAGGGGGGACCAACTCCATATTAATGCCCATGATTTTGGAATGAGATGTTTGTTGAGTACTTTTGGCCATGTAGTGTATAAATCTATGGGTCGGTAGAACTAACCACATAGTAAAAGAACCACAGAGGTCAGCCTGGTCTCATAGACTAGACGTAACATAGTAAAAGAACCACAGAGGTCAGCCTGGTCTCATAGACTAGACGTAACATAGTAAATGTACATCTGGGACACTCAAATTAGCATGATGTGTTACGTTTGGTACGGTTCCATAAGACAGATGGTCACTTAAGGCAAATCTAAAAGTAGGGTGGTTGGTCGGGGTGGATGGGTGGGCGTATAATGCGAACGTCTAGCAACCCAAAGGTTGCGAGTTTGAATCTCATCATGGACAACTTTAGCATTTTAGCTAATTAGCAACTTTTCAACCACTTACTACTTTTTAGCGACTTTGCATGTTAGCTAACCCTTCCCCTAACCATTAACCCTTTTAGCTAAGCCTTCCCCTAACCATTAACCCTTTTAGCTAACCCTTCCCCTAACCATTAACCCTTTTAGCTAAGCCTTCCCCTAACTTTAACCTAACTCCTAAACGTAACCCTAACCCCTATCTAACGTTAGCCACCTAGCTGTTTTTAGAGTGAGGTGTGCCAGGAATGTATTGTCTACTCTACCTTGATAAGTGACTGCAGTGACACAGACACGGCACTGGCTTCGCTATTGTAGCTAAGTTATAAATACTAGACTTAGTAAACAGACTGCTGAAAGGAGCATTGTACTGGCCTCCCTGCCTGGCCCCGGAGCTGGCCTGGAGTATTAGGACAGAGAGGGGTGGAGTGAGGAGGATGGGGAGGAGAGGGGAGGGGGGAGGGGAGGGGAGGAAGGAGGAGTATAAGTGAGAGGAGAGGGGGAGGAGATGTGAGAATGAGGTGAGAGGGGGAGGAGATGGAAAGAATGTATGACCACATTAGAGACACATATTTCCCTCAGATTACACAGACCCACAAAGAATTTGAAAAAAGAAATCCAATTTTGATCAACTCCCATATCTATTGGGTGAAATACCACAGTGTGCCATCACAGCAGCAAGATTTGTGACCTGTTGCCACAAGAAAAGGGCAACCAGTGAAGAACAAACACCATTTTAAATACAACCCATATTTATGTTTATTTATTTTCCCTTTTGTACTTTAACTATTTGCACATTGTTACAACACTGTATTTAGACATAATATGCCATTTGAAATGTCTCTATTCCTTTGGAACTTTTGTGAGTGTAATGTTTACTGTTAATTTTTTATGGTTTATTTCACTTTTATTTACTATCTATTTCACTTGCTTTGGCAACGTTAACACACGTTTCCCATGCCAATAAAGCCCTTAAATTGAATTGAGTAGAGAGAGACAGAGAGAGAGAGAGAGAGAGAGAGAGAGAGAGAGAGAGAGAGGAGGAGCGAGAGAGAGAGAGAGAGAGAGAGAGAGGGAAGAGAGAGAGAGAGAGAGAGAGAGAGAGCGAGCGTGAGAGAGAGGGAGGGGGGAGGAGGAAGGGGAGGTGAGAGAAGAGCCTAGGAGAGGAGGAGGAGAGGACGTAGAGAGAAGTAGAGGGGGGAGGAGGAGGAGGAGAGAGGAGAGTAGAGGGGATAGCTTGGAGGGTGGGCTCACTCCAACCCTCAGCCTGGAGGATGTTTCTGTTAGATACATGAAGGGCTGAGTATACAGTTTTAGCCAACTGAACTGAAGGATTCATTGTGATCACAGTCTGTGTCCCAAATGGCACCCTATTCCCTTTATAGTGCACTACTTTAGACCTGGGCCCTGGTCAAAGGTAGTGCACTAAATAGAGTACAGGGTGCCATTTGGGACTCAAGACTAGTCCCACTGCCCGACAACCCAACAGCAACACTGAAAGCTGGAGTATGTGAGCAGCGAGGGCTTATCTCTATCTGCACAGGGAGGTGGTTCACTTCACTGTGACTGGCTTCATATCTTGAAAACCTACTGTTACGCACGCACAGTGTCTAAAAATTAGGTTGTTAGGTTGTTGACACAAGTTAGGTTGTTGACACAAGTACCGTTCATGTTTGTTTGCAATGAGGATATCCTTAATTCCGAAATATATTGCTATTCCAAATGATATGATTAGACTAGTTAACTTCTTGCCGTTTACCTGACGTCACAGTCAGTGGATTCAGTTGACTATAGCTTTTTTAAGTCGACCATCTTACCAGAAAGATGTACATGTGAAATAATACACGGATTAGACAAAACATTAGGAACACCTTCCTAATATTGAGTTGCACCCCCTTTTTTGCCATCAGAACTGCCTCAATTCGTCAGGGCATGGACTCTACAAGGTGTCGAAAGCGTTCCACAGGGATGCTGGCCCATGTTGTTGACTCCAATGCTTCCCACAGTTGTGTCAAGTTGGCTGGATGTCCTTTGGGTGGTGGACCATTCTTCATACAAACAGAAAACTGTTGAGCGTGAAAAACCCAGCAGCGTTGCAGTTCTTGACACACTCAAACCGGTGCGCCTGGCACCTACTACCATACCTCGTTCAAAGGCACTTAAATATTTTGTCTTGCCCATTCGCCCTCTGAATGGCACACATACACAATCCATGTCTCAATTGTCTCAAGGCTTAAAAATCCTTCTTTAACCTGTCTCCTCCCCTTCATCTACACTGATTTGAAGTGGATTTAACAAGTGATGTCAATAAGGAATCATAGCTTTCACCTGGATTCACCTGGTCAGTCGATGTCATGGAAAGAGCAGCTATTCCTAATGTTTTGTCCACTCAGTGTATATGTCAAATTCAACTAGTGACATAACATTGTATTGGCTGTACGTGTAGTTCATACCTTATAAATCAATTCAATTAATATATTTTCCATTTCAAGCCACAGCCAAATTCCAGGAGAATTACAAACATGTTTCTTCCTGGCAGAGAGAGAAGCAGCCATCTTGACTATCCAGGATACAAACACCAGAGCAGCATTTCAGTCTCACCAATTCAATGGCTCCATCTGTTGCATAATGACCTGATTAATTTTTCTCACAAAACACAAG